AAAAAAAAGAGGCGGAGAAGAAGGGACCGGGAAAAGGAACAATAGAGCTGGCGGACCTAAACGTTAGGACCTGAATATAAAGTAAAAGTAACGAGCTGTGGACATTAAGTAAATTAAAAAGACCATTAAAAAGAAACCCATCAGTGGTTACCTTAAAGACCCGTCCTTTCACGGTATCCCAGCTGGACATCTCGACCTCAGAGGACGGAGCGTGTGCCCAGGACCAAACCGATGGATTACTTTCCCTGATTGACTGCGCGGGCCCTGGGTGAGATCGTTTCTTTTATATATTTTTCCTGGTATACCAGAGGTACAGCGATCGATCGCATATTTTTGTTTTTTCACCGGTTTTTGCTGTGTGGATCTGCGCTATTTTTGTTTGACACGCATGGATGAGTGACTGTTTCGTTTGCGTGCGCCACGGACTCAAAAATAATCAAAAGACATTTAAAAGTTATTGAAAATGGACAGTATTGTATTTTTCGTTAGTTGAGACTGTGAGTTTATTTTGGGGATTGTAAAGACTGAGATTGGTTTTGTGATGTGACCTTTTTTTTTATTTATTTAAGCCTACGCATGACGTGCGTGTAGGCGCTGGGGGGAGGAATTAATTAAACGTGTGTTATTTGAATTTATACACTCTGTTGAGAGTTTCATGTATCTTTATTCCTTAATATTTGTGGTTATTTTTTTTGGGGGAGGATAAATATTTTTTATTTTTCCCAAAAGTTTTCTATTTTCCTGAAAAGAGCCCCCCTTGTAGTTAACGCTTACTGGAGAAAAGGTAAAGTGTTACAACCTATCTCTGAGCGCAGGTATGATCGTGAAAATGTCCCCCGGAAATGTACTCTTTGTTTGACTGGCAATCAAGGAGACGAATATCATTATGTACTTGTGTGTTCTTTTTTTGATAAAGAGAGAAGAGAGTTGGTCAGACAGTTCTATAGAGTAAATCCAAATATTTATAAATTTCAAAAGTTAATGTCATCTTGAAAAGTAAAGGTCTTGTCAAATTTGTTGAAACTTTTAAAGAAAATCCTGAATAGTTTCTCTTGATTTGCTTTGACTTGTATGTATGTACACAAATTCTGTTTTATTTATTTTGTTGTGCATTGGCTGCCGCCTGTCCTGATTTGTTAATGTTATTTTTTTTTTGTCTGCCCCTTATACCCCGGGGAGGGGTCAAAAGGAATAAATGAAATGAAATGAAAAAGCTGCTCCTGGAGGTACCGAGGTCAGAGGGGATGGAGCTTTTTCTGTTGCTGCTCCCAAACTTTTGAACAACCTACCTCTGCAGGTAGGTGAGCCAAGTGAGGCAGATAACACAGGTCAGACAGTTGAGATAGGTGAGACAAGTGAGGCAGGTGACACAGGTGAGGCAGATAACACAGGTCAGACAGTTGAGATAGGTGAGACAAGTGAGGCAGGTGACACAGGCGAGACAGGTGATGCAGGACAGACAAGTGACGCAGATGAGGCAGATAACACAGGTGAGACAGTTGAGACAGGTGAGGCAGGCGACACAAGTGAGACAGGTGAGCCAGGTGAGGCAGACAACACAGGTAAGACAGTTTAGACAGGTGAGGCAGGTGAGACAGGTGAGCCAGGTGAGGCAGACAACACAGGTAAGACAGGTGAAACAAGTGAGGCAGGCGACACAAGTGAGACAGGTGAGGCAGGTGAGACAGGCGAGACAGATGAGGCAGGTGATGCGGGACAGACAGGTGACGCAGATGAGGCAGATAACACAGGTGAGACAGTTGAGGCAGGTGAGACAGGCGACACAAGTGAGACAGGTGAGGCAGACAACACAAGTGAGGCAGGTGAGACAGGTGAGATAAGTGAGACAGGTGAGGCAGGTGAGACAGGCGAGACAGGTGATGCAGGACGGATAGGTGATGCAGATGAGGCAGATAACACAAGTGAGGCAGGTGAGGCAGGTGAGACAGACAACACAGTTGAGACAGTTGAGACAGGTGAGACAAGTGAGATAAGTGAGACAGGTGAGGCAGGTGAGACAGGCGAGACAGGTGATGCAGGACGGATAGGTGATGCAGATGAGGCAGATAACACAAGTGAGGCAGGTGAGGCAGGTGAGGCAGGTGAGACAGACAACACAGTTGAGACAGTTGAGACAGGTGAGATAAGTGAGACAGGTGAGGCAGGTGAGACAGGCGAGACAGGTGATGCAGGACGGATAGGTGATGCAGATGAGGCAGATAACACAAGTGAGGCAGGTGAGGCAGGTGAGACAGACAACACAGTTGAGACAGTTGAGACAGGTGAGATAAGTGAGATAAGTGAGACAGGTGAGGCAGGTGAGACAGGCGAGACAGGTGATGCAGGACGGATAGGTGATGCAGATGAGGCAGATAACACAAGTGAGGCAGGTGAGGCAGGTGAGGCAGGTGAGACAGACAACACAGTTGAGACAGTTGAGACAGGTGAGATAAGTGAGACAGGTGAGGCAGGTGAGACAGGCGAGACAGGTGATGCAGGACGGATAGGTGATGCAGATGAGGCAGATAACACAGGTGAGGCAGGTGAGGCAGGTGAGACAGGTGAGGCAGACAACACAGGTGATACAGTTGAGACTGGTGAGGCAGGTCAGACAGGTGAGGCAGGCAACACAAGTGAGACAGGTGAGACAGGTCAGGCAGGTGAGTCAGGTGACGCAGGTCAGACAGGTGTTACCTTGGTGTCCTGTTTCTGAGGAGTTGGAGGACTCTGCTGTGAAATCTCTGTCACTTTTGTCTCCACCTCCTCCTCCTCCTCCTCCTGCTGTTCCTCCTCTTTTTCCTCCTCCATCCTCTCCTGCAGGTCCTCCTCCACCATCAGCACCTCCTCAACTAGGACACAGGAGACAAGGAATCAAGGACAAGTAAGGAGAGAAGGAAACAAGGGAACAAGAAGAGGAGGAAACAGAAGGGTGTTTTCTGTACCTTGCTCCGCCCTCCTCTCCTCCACCGTCCTCTCGGGTGTTACTGTGTTGATGAGGTCACTGACAGCAATGGCTTTAGATGCTGCATACAGTCCTGTACCCATATCTACACACACACACACACACACACACACACACACACACACACACACACACAGCTCACATCAGCTGGGATGTCAACAAACACAAAGACGATAACCATAGCAACCGTCAGCTGACTGCAACCCGTCTTTATGTTCCTCAGAAGCAAAGCATCATGACCGCTCGTTGTCATGGCAATGGCACATTCAGCCAATCGGCGCACAGGGCGCATGCAAGGCAGCCTAGATCAGCCAATTAGCATTCAGAACCACCGTGAAGCCATAACCTGTCGTTATCTAACATCACACCACCATGCTGACTGTGCTAACAAAGCTAATGGTGCTAACCCAGCTCACAAACATAATAGGGCTAACTGCGCTAACAAAGTTCACCAATATAACAACGCTAACAAAGTTAACAAAGTTCACCAACTTAATAACTGTGCTAACAACACTAACAAAGGTCAACGATATAACAATGCTAACTGTGCTAACAAAGCTAACATAGTTCACAAACATAACAGTGCTAACCGTGCTAACAGTGCTAACATGACTTAGACAGTCAGATCTCCTTCCTGCTGAGCTCACAGAAAAAAACACCACAAATGTTGAATCTAAGGAGGTGGAGCAAGGGAGGGAAATTTATTCAAGCCCCGCCCCTGGTCAGAAATCCATACTGGAGTGGACAGAAAACACCTGGTTTGTTTTTTACCTGTGCGCTCACATACAGGTAAGTTCTGTCTGTCTGATCATGTTATTGATGACAGGGTGGAGGTCTGATGTCATATGATTACATCAGCAGAAACAGAAGAGCTGACTGGACAGAAATAAACCAGCTGATGGCAGATGTGTCTGAATGAAGCAGAGCTCCTCCAACCAATCAGAATGCAGCTCTCCCTGACAAGCTAAATGACAGGAAGCATTCAGAGCTGTGGCCAATCACAGAGCAGTACTGCTACAGTACTACCGCAGCCTGCAGCAGAGTTACCGCAGTAACGAGCTCTACCTGTATATGCACCACCGTTGGCTCTGGGGGACTTGGTGATGGCTGGAGAGCCAATCAGAGAGGACGAGGGTGTGGTCCCAGGAGCTGAGGACCAATCAAAAACTCTGGTCACTAACAAGAACAAGAAAGAACTGAACTATCACAGAGCCGGACTCCTGGACCTGAACCCAAAAAAACTGAAACCACAAAACCTGAAACCATCAAACCTGGTACAGATGGTAAAGCTGGTAGTACTACTGAGACCGCTACTTCTAATACTGGGACCAGTTCTACAATGATGGACACCACCAATACCATTACTGCAATCAACACTACTACAAGGACGAGAACTACCACAGGGCCCAGTGCTACTACAAGGATGAGGACTAACACAGGGACCAATACTACTACAAGGACTATCACTACTATCGGGACCAGTACTGCTACAAGGACTAGAACTACTACAGGGACCAGTACTAGGACAAGAACTAGAACTACTACAGGGACCAGTACTACTACAAGGACTAGAACTACTACAGGGACCAGTACTGCTACAAGGACTAGAACTACTACAAGGACCAGTACTAGGACAAGTACTAGAACTACTACAGGGACCAGTACTGCTACAAGGACTAGAACTACTACAGGGACCAGTACTGCTACAAGGACTAGAACTACTACAAGGACCAGTACTAGGACAAGTACTAGAACTACTACAGGGACCAGTACTGCTACAAGGACTAGAACTACTACAGGGACCAGTACTGCTACAAGAACTAGAACTACTACAAGGACCAGTACTAGGACAAGTACTAGAACTACTACAGGGACCAGTACTGCTACAAGGACTAGAACTACTACAGGGACCAGTACTAAGACAAGGACTAGAACTACTACAGGGACCAGTACTACTACAATAATGACAAGAACTACTACAACTAGTACAATGATACAAGGAATAGTAACACTACTACCAGGACATGGACTACAGCTCCAAGGTCTACCACAGGGACCAGTACCAGTAGGATCAGTATGAGTACCTCCATCCAGGCTGCGGCTCAGAATGTTCCTCTTGCTGATGCATCGTGGGAAATGTGGTGCAGGTCTTGAGATCTGAGCGCTGGCTCTGCGAGTCTGAATCTGAGTCCGACCGCTGTAACGAAACTTTGAACCCAGCGTTAGAAACTTCTTTGGGGTCTCTTCTGGAGACATCAGCCTGAGAGACAGAGGGGACACAGACAGACAGGTAGAGACAGAGGGGACAGAGACAGATGGGTAGAGACAGACATGTAGAAACAGACAGGTAGAGACAGACATGTAGAGACAGACAGGTAGAGACAGACATGTAGAAACAGACGGATAGAGACCGACGGAACAAAGACAGAAGGGTAGTGACAGACAGGTAGAGACAGAGGGGACAGAGACAGACATGTAGAGACACACAGGTAGAGACAGAGGGGACAGAGACAGACAGGAAGAGACCGACTGTTATCAGATCATGTGACGTCTGGTTGTGTCATGTTATTGATCATGTTATTGATCATGCGACTGACCTGAAGAAGGAGTGATGCTCCACGCACACTTTCCACAGCCTCTTAGCTGCTCTGTGGTTCAGCAGCTTGAAACCAATGGTTGACTCAAACTGGTCAAACTGGAGACAGACAGAGACTCAAACTGGTCAAACTGGAGACAGACAGACAGACTCAAACTGGTCAAAGTCTTGTTTCCTGTTAACAGTCAGATAAGGAAAAGATGAACTGATCTCCAGAAGTCATTAAGTTAAAGATGAAACATTTCCTCTGTACTTCTTCATTTCATCTTTTTACAGTTTCAAAATAACAAAAAATAAAAAGGGTCTGAAGCCAAAGTGTGTGTTGTCTCATCCATCCACCCTGTCTGTAACAGGTGGACAGGTGTCCCTCTCCTCAGCTCCATCCTCCAGCTCCTCCTGGAGGACCCTGAGGTGTTCCCAGACCAGATGAGATCTATAATCCCTCCAGTGTGTTCTGGGTCTGCCCCGGGGCCTCCTACCAGCTGGACCAGGAGGATCCTGATCAGATGTTGAATCACCTCAACATGAAGGAGCAGCGGCTCTACTCCGAGCTCCCTCCAGATGTCTGACTCCTCCCCCTATCTCTAAGGCTGAGCCCAGACACCCTACAGAGGAAACTCATGTTTGTCTCAGATGCTTGTATCTGTGACCTCATTCTTTCAGTCACTACCCAGAGCTCATGACCATAGGTGAAGGTTGGGACTAAGAAACCAAGAGCTTTGCCTTCCAGCTCAGCTTGTCTTCACCACGACAGTCCACTCACTGCAGACATCGCACCAAACCAATGATCAATCTCACGCTCCAATCTACCCTCACTGTGAACAAGACTCTGAGATACTTCAACTCCTCCTCTTGAGGCAGCAACATTTGCTCATTAGGTGGTATTTAAAATTCATCAGTTCACAGGACTTGTCTCCAAAAAGCATCAGGCTTGTCTCGATGTCCCTTCACAAACCTGTGAGTCTGAATTTGGTGGTGAGGACACAGGAAAGGTTTTCTTCTGATGACTCTTCCATGAAGGTCATACCTGTCCAGGTGTGTCTGCTCAGTACAACAGTGCACCACCACTCTTCCTCTCTCACAAAGGTTTCAGCTTGACCTCCACAGTTCCTCTTAACGTCCATTTCTTAATGACATGACCAAGTGAGGAAACACTTTGCTATCTTCCTCTAGCCCTTACAGACGGTTTTAAATTCCATCCATTCACCCAGTAAGGACTCATTGAGTCCTTGTGATAGTTGAAGTCATAACTTTTTAATAGTTTTATCTTTTAAGATTATTGTTTTTTTGTTATGTTATTTAACTTCTCTCCCACCATAACTATTATAATTCAAACAATATAATTAGTTAATTAACCCTTTACAGGCCGGTTTCTGTGATGTACCACTCATTTTTATACAAAAAACACCCCAAAAATGAAATATTCTTTAGTTTTTTAGGGATTTTTTTTGGGCATTTTTGCCTTTAATTGATAGGACAGCTGAGTGTGAAGGGGGAGAGAGAGAGAGGGAATGACATGCAGCAAAGGGCCACAGGCCGGAGTTGAACCCGGGCCGCTGCGGCAACAGCCTTGTACATGGGGCGCCTGCTCTATCCACTAAGCCACCGACGCCCCATGGGATGTTTTTTTTTTTTAAATGTTTACAACAGTCTGAGGTCAGGCAATGTTTATGGGGAATATCAGTTTTTATGCATTTTTACTTTTTTTGTAGTGTTAGATTGAAAACAAAAATAGCTCTCACCCAGTTAAGGACTCATTGCGTCCTCATGATGGCTGAAGGTACAACTTTTTAACGGTTTTATATTTTAAGATTTTTCTTTATTGGTTATGTTATTTAACTTCTCTCCCACCATGACTGTTATAATTCAAACAATATAATTAGTTAATTAACCCTTTACAGGCCAGTTTCTGTGATGTATCACTCATTTTTATACAAAAAACACCCCAAAAGTGAAATAATTTCAGTTTACAAGAGGCTGGTGGGATATTTTTTTAATACTTACATCTGCCTGAGGTCAGTCACTTTTCATGTAGAATATTAGTTCATATGCAGTTTTACTTTTTTGTACAGTGTAAGATTAAAGTAAAAGACTCGTTGAGTCCCCTATTCAATTCCATGTAATTTTTTTGAGAACAATGGGTGAACCCTTGGCTGAAACAGTTACTGAAAAAGTTACTCTTCAACGCTCTCACTGCAGGGCTGGCAGTAGAATACCCTGACGCCATGCTCCTTACAGGCGGTACATTTGCATTTGAAGCAGACAGTGTCCACTTTTCCTCTCTTTGTGCCTGTGCACAGAACACACAAGCGCCGACCCGGCTGCCTCCTCTTCGGCTCGCTGGGTCGGCCGTTAGCTGGTGGCAGGTTGCTGCCGTTCCTCTGGCTGACCGTGTTGGAGGCTGCTATAATATGGGGTCAGATCAGTCTCATAATGAATGAATTCACGCAGGGTTTTTCACAAATGCACATGCTCTGGTTCACAGTTGTATTTCGGACTCACTAATGCACATGATCTGTTTAGCAAATGCACACGTTCTGGTTCACAAATATAATGTTTATGCAAACTTGTAATATAAATTTGCAAATGCACACAATGGCCCTCATTTATCAAACGAGCGTAGAAACAGGTGCAGATCTGAGCGCAGGATTCATCTTACGATAGGACACACGTGATTTATGAAACGTTCGTATCTGACCAGTCCCAGCGTACGAATGATCAGGCCTGATAAATGCGGCGGCTGAAATCGATCGTCATTAGGATGTCACCCCCTTAAATATTCATGGTTCAGAGGCCTCGCCCTGTGAGGTCGCAACATGGAGAGGAGAAATATTGCAAAGAAGAGAAACTTTTCCGACCTGGAAATCGACACCCTCAAGTCTGAGGTGGAGGTAAATGAATACGTGCTTTTTGGAAGTTTAAAAACTGGCATTAAAGGAGTTCATAAAAACGCTGTCTGGAAGAAGATCACGGAGGCAGTCAGCAGCGTCGCCACTGACAAACAGACTCCGGCTGAGGTTTGAATAAAATTCTCAATAAGTAGCCTATAATGTAATGATGATAATAAAAAAAAATTTTTTATTCATCCATAGCTTTATAGCCAATGCCTGGTAGTTGATCAAGTCACAATTCTTTACGTTTAGGTCAAGAAAAAGTGGTCAGACTTAAAGCTGGCAACAATATGCCCTTAGGCGCAGCAACACGCAGACTGGAGGAGGCCAACCAGACCCCAGCCTGACCCTGATGGGGACCGTGGAAAGAATCTCTTCACTAATCGGGTCAGAATCTATCTCTGGCATAAGTGGTGGTGGTGGAGACTCAGGCTCACGTGCTTCGGAGCCGGAGCAGAACTGTAACTATCAGCCCTCCTTTTACTTGCATTAGTTAATTTAACCTGACAGTACACTACTGTCCAAACAAATAGGCTTACACGTGTTACACAGGTACACATTTTTATTGTTTTGTTTAAATGCTGTTTCAGAGCCAGGCACCAGCGGCATGACGTCCAGGTCCTCTCCCCAGAGCAGTCCCACCGAGCCAGGCAGGCGAGCGCATGCCCTCCGCCTCCCGTGCTTGGCCAATCTTAATGGCAGAGGTCCTGGAAAGGCAGACAGAAATATGCCATTTATTGGCTTAAGTTAGAATGCTCAAGACAATTAATAACACGCTAAAATAAATGAACTAGAATCTAAAAAAAAAAATAAACAGAACATTGAATAAAATGTTTAAATGACTAAAGGTTGAGCGCTGGAGCACTTACACAACTTTAAAGTATACTTTACATTTTAGAAACGATGAATGAGGTCCTGTCTCCTCCGTATAGCCCCCAGTGGGGGCTGTGCTGGCCACGGTTCCCTGGGCATTGGTTCATCTGGCTGCGCCGGCACATCAAACGGCACTCCATTGTCTAAAGCAATATTGCGCAAAACTGCACAGGCCAAAATGATGTCGCACACCTTTTCTGGGGTATACAGCAGCGTTCCCCCCGCTGGTCCAAGACAGAGCCACCTGCGCTTGAACAACCTGAAGCAGCGCTCCACCGTGACCCGTGTGCGTGTGTGCGCACTGTTAAACCTGCGCTCCTGCTCTGTGGCAGGGTTTGCCAGCGGGGTTATAAGGTATTGAGGGGATAACCTTTGTCANCCGTGTGCGTGTGTGCGCACTGTTAAACCTGCGCTCCTGCTCTGTGGCAGGGTTTGCCAGCGGGGTTATAAGGTATTGAGGGGATAACCTTTGTCACATAGAATAAGAACCATACTAAAATGTTGTCATTTAATAGCCTACTTACCGAGGAGACACTGGCCCTGCAGTGCGCCGTCCCGTAGCCGTGCGCCCATGCTATGTTATTGTTATGGAATATAAATGAGTCGTGCCCCCCCCCCGGCCACTGGGCTACCACGTTTAGTGATAGCCTGGCATCACATATTACCTGTAAGTGTAATTTTTGCGATTGATGAATGCGTAATCATTCATGGCTATTTTATTTCATTTTGTTTTATTCGTTTTGGGAATCCTTTTTTAGTATACTGAATATGTGGCTGCTTATGCTTAGATGACAAGTTTGAGTATATGAATAATCATTTTCAGACTCAGCCAGATCTTACTGTGCTGCACCGCAAATCCACACTGACTCAAACTTGCGTACACGAGCTGAGACCTGACGTGAGATTTGATCGTACCCTACACTCACGTCCAAATTGATAAATGCCAAAGTTGCCGTGGAAATGACCGTACTCCCATTATTCTGGCGTACGTTCGTTTGATAAATGAGGGCCAATCTGTTTTGCAAATGCACACGCTCTGGTTTACAAATATTATGTTTATGCAAACTGGTAATATAAATTTGCAAATGCACATGCTCTGGTTCACAAATATAACTTTTTTAGCAAACTTGTAATGTAAATTCGGAAATGCACACCCTCTGGTTCACAAATATAATGTTTATGCAAACTTGTAATGTAAATTCGGAAATGCACACGATCTGCTTCACAAATATTATTTTGAGGCACACTTGTAATATAAATTCGGAAATGCACATGATCTGTTTCTTAAATGCACATGCTCTGGTTCACAAATATAACTTTTTTTGCAAACTTGTAATATAAATTTGCAAATGCACGCAATCTGTTTCGCAAATGCACACGCTCTGGTTCACAAATATTATTTTGAGGCACACTTGTAATATCAATTCACAGATCATGCGAATCGCTGAATGTGCATTTACAAACTGCTTCTCATTTGTGAACCTCTACATTTGTGAGAGAAATCTGTGTGGTGAATTTTGAGACTCCCCTGACGTCGCAGGTCCACGAACGTCACCATTGGCTGATAAATCTGTCAATCAATTTTATGATTCTGATTGACAGATTCATCAGTTAATCAGGTGTGTTCGCTTTCAGCCAATCGTATGGCTCCTTACATTTTCTCCACACTTTTAAACCAATCACAGAGCTACTGAGCTACTGTTTGCAGTGTTCAAACAAGCCGCGCTAGACTGAAACGCTGGAAGAGACATGGATCAATCTCAACCTGTAAGTAACACATTTATCTTATTATCCCCTTGTTGTAAATCATGCAATGTTATTGAATTATAATGAGTTGAAGCGTTCTGCTTAGCCAAGTAACATATTTTAATGAAAGTGTGGAGAAAATGTAAGGAGCCATACGATTGGCTGAAAGCGAACACACCTGATTAACTGATGAATCTGTCAATCAGAATCATAAATTTGATTTTGCATAAACATTATATTTGTGAACCAGAGCGTGTGCAATGATAAACAGATCGTGTGCATTAGTGAGTCTGTAATAAAACTGCGAACCAGAGCGTGTGCATTTGCGAATTTATATTACAAGTTTGCATAAACATTATATTTGTGAACCAGAGCGTGTGCATTTGCTAAACAGATCATGTGCATTAGTGAGTCCGAAATACAACTGCGAACCAGAGCATGTGCATTTGTGAAAAACCCTGCGTGAATTCATTCATTATGAGACTGATCTGACCCCATATTATAGAAGCCTCCAACACGGCCAGCCAGAGGAACGGCAGCAACCTGCCACCAGCTAACGGCCGACCCAGCGAGCCGAAGAGGAGGCAGCTGGGTCGGCGCTTGTGTGTTCTGTGCACAGGCACAAAGAGAGGAAAAGTGGACACTGTCTGCTTCAAATGCAAATGTACCGCCTGTAAGGAGCATGGCGTCAGGGTATTCTACTGCCAGCCCTGCAGTGAGAGCGTTGAAGAGTAACTTTTTCAGTAACTGTTTCAGCCAAGGGTTCACCCATTGTTCTCAAAAAAATTACATGGAATTGAATAGGGGACTCAACGAGTCTTTTACTTTAATCTTACACTGTACAAAAAAGTAAAACTGCATATGAACTAATATTCTGCATGAAAAGTGACTGACCTCAGGCAGATGTAAGTATTAAAAAAATATCCCACCAGCCTCTTGTAAACTGAAATTATTTCACTTTTGGGGTGTTTTTTGTATAAAAATGAGTGATACATCACAGAAACCGGCCTGTAAACAGTCATGGTGGGAGAGAAGTTAAATAACAAAACAAAAAAATAATAATCTTAAAAGATAAAACGATTAAAACGTTATGACTTCAACCATCACAAGGACTCAATGAGTCCTTACTGGGTGAGAGCTATAAATTTAATTACACATTGAAAAAAAAACTTTTATCATTTTTCTTTTTAATTTCAACATTAACAGATAAAGGCAAAACTTCCCCAAAGCATTTTGCTAAAGCATGATTGCAGCCAAAATGCTGCTCAATAGAGGAATGGGTGAGGACTCATTGAGTCCTTGCAGGGTGTAAGGGCTAGTCTTCATCAGGTCTTTGAGTGTTCACAGTGCAGGCAGCTGTTTAGAGGAGCCCATGGCTGCTGAGTGTTGGGACAAGCTTTCAGGAGTCAACTGCTCTGTCCTCACCATGACTGTCAACAACAGATCCTGGGACAGCTGTCTCACTGCTCAGAGGTCTCAAGGTGTCCAAACTTTTGGACAGTGCTCCTTTATTTTTTTCAAAAAAAAAATAAAACACCGATCCTGATTAAAATATTAAAAGGCACCATGTCTTTTGGAGATCAGTTTATCTTGTACTCACTGAGCTACTGACAGTAAACAACATGTTGACTAGCGCCGCCCAAACGTCTGTATCGTTGACGAAGTGTTTCATGACGTTTTGTCTGAAATCGTCCGTCAGTCTCTGATCAGCTGATCTGTTTGAGGACGAACTTAACGATACTGACGTCCCTTCGTCTGTTTTTGATTTCTGACGGTGTGATCACATACTGACACTGTTTTTGTCTGAGACAGTGAGGTGTCATGGTAACCATGGTAACTGATACTGCAAAATGAAAACCAGTTATAAACCAGATCAGGGTTTGTATACAGTCACAGGGCTGTGAGAGGGCCTTTTCACGCTGTGCATTGTGGGAGCAGAAGTAGACAAAGGCAGCACTGAAACGATGTATACTATCAGTATGTGGGACGCAGTGACGCTAACATTTGGCTAGCTAGCTACAAAGGTAATAGCTCCATTACTTCAGAGCTACCAGCAGGTAGGACTAATGTGCAGCTGCACCTGCTGAGGTAACATCCTTCTGACACCTGGCCCTGACATCGTCACCAAGTCACTCCCCAGCCCTCTCACACGCCCACTGCTGGTATCTCCACACAAACAGATGTCCTCAGAGTAAAAGTGAAGACGTTTTCATCTCTTCTGATGGCTCCATCATCAGATGGAAAACTGTGGAAACTTAAATAAGGACGGCTCAGTTAGATCAGTATGGGACACCGACGTGACTTTTGTGCCTCACAGTAGAAAAACAACGGTAAGACTCGGCCGCCTTTGCCTACTTCCTCTCTGAGAACGCACAGCCTGAGTACATCCTATATTCATCTTTAACTCTTCTTCTGTGGTGCTGAGGTGTGTGTTGGCGTCTCACCTCCCCAGGTCGGATCTTGATGTAGAAGTTGTTCCTCTTGTAGGAGATCTTCAGGATCTTTGGCCACGAGAATCTGTTGATCCTCAGTCTGTCTCTGTAGACCAGCAGACCGCTACTGCACACGCCCAGCATGATGGCCACACCCTCAGAGTCCTGCACACACACACACACACACACACACACACAGACACAGATGGTGGACTCATGAATGGTCAGACTGGGACAAGTTGTCTTTAATTTGAGGTGAAACCAAAGACCTTCAGTCTGTCTCCTCAGTGGACTTCATGTCCTTAATGCCCTCACACTCACTGCAGCCAATCAGCAGCCTTCTTATCTGCTGCCTGTGTGATGTCACCTGCCATTACAACAACCACACCAGTACTTCCTGAATGACAGGTCAGCCCCAACCCCTATCTCTGATTGGCTGCACATTTGAAAGCCTTGTGATTTCATTGGTCAAAGTTTAGTCACACATAATCCCAGTGGGTGGGTCTGTTTGTCTGTTTGTCTGTGTCTCTGATCAGCTGATCTATTACAGGACCAACCAAACGATACTGACGTCCCTTCAACTGAACCGCAGTGGGCGGGTCATGAATGGGACATAAATTTCAGTCTGAGGTGACATCACTCTCGTTCTGACGCCTTGAGTTTGGCACTTTGGAGCAGGAAGTGACCATATTTGGGTGAGAAAGTGGAGCTGATGGAGAGCAGACAGCCTGTGACTCAAAGAGGCTCCACACTCCATCAACAGGTGAGTTTAATCTAAATTCAATTTGTTGTTTCTGTCTTAAATCAGAGTGAAGACTGGAGACACGTTGGTGTCCCGCTATCTTCCTGTTATTCACGGTGACAGTTCAGCAAACAGGAAACAGTATTCACTACACCTGACAGAGTTATATCACAGATCTCAGCACAGTCAGAGACAGCAGGAAATATGACCGGACATCACGCTGTGTGGGTCGCAGGCGCCATCTTGATGAGGTACACACAGAGCGCCTGCACTCAATCTGAAAACAAGTTAGGTCACAATGTTTGACAGTAATCCTGGTTTAATCCACCGGGGACAGGTGACACTACACCTGTCTGACACACCAGTCTGATACAACTGTCTGATACACCAATCTGACACACTTGTCTGACACACCTGCCTGATACACCTGTCTGACACAACTGTCTGATACACCTGTCTGACACAACTATCTGAAACACCTGTCTGACACAACTGTCTGATACACTAGTCTGACACACCTGTCTGATACACCAGTCTGACACACCTGTCTGACACAACTATCTGAAACACCTGTCTGACACACCTGCCTGATACACCTGTCTGACACAACTGTCTGATACACCTGTCTGACACAACTATCTGAAACACCTGTCTGACACAACTGTCTGATACACTAGTCTGACACACCTGTCTGATACACCAGTCTGACACACCTGTCTGACACAACTATCTGAAACACCTGTCTGACACACCTGCCTGATACACCTGTCTGACACAACTGTCTGATACACCTGTCTGACACAACTATCTGAAACACCTGTCTGACACAACTGTCTGATACACTAGTCTGACACACCTGTCTGATACACCAGTCTGACACACCTGTCTGA